TTCACTAGGTGTCATCAACACTTAAAATCAAATACATGTACAAATGTATAGGCAAAAATCACAAGACAATTGAATGAATGAACTGTCACCAATACTAGTTAACAAAGACCAGAAGACCACACGTAACTGACTGAAAACATTCTTCAGAAATTCCTAGTATAGACTGGACACAATACATGTTTATGCTGGGAACATCCAAAACATGATATTTTAAGATGAAATCTGTGTCAGTGGGCGGAGTCGTAGGAAGTAAGCTCTCATATTTCTCTAGTTATGTTACCTAACTGGTAATTAAGGGGAACTGGGTCGTACCTAAGTAGGATTTAGCCTACATACCTCACCTTAACTGATTAAACGCCCATCCAGGATCAACACCTTGAAAGATTAACCCTTGTCTTGCGGAGCGCAACAATTGTCGTTCTGCACATACAGTACCATCTATATAGCACCCTGTATAGGTACGATTTGGGGGTGTTTCTCGTGCAACGCATCACACCGCAGAGAAACGCAACGAATGCGGAATTAACTATGCCACTGCAGGGCAAAAAAATTTGGGGTTCTATGATCTAATTAAGACATGAAATTATTGAAAAATATTGTGCCAGGAATGTCAGCAGGACAAGGGTTTTAAGTAGCCAAGAGAATAGCTGATGTGTAAGCAAACTCCTGAAGAAAAGAGGCTATGTCTTCCTACTGGATAGAAGGTGTGCACACATTCAAAATGTACATTGCCATGGTTGTAGCCTGGGTTCCAAACCCATAGCACACTGGCTACCATATGGTTATACCTATAAGAGGGCCCGCAAGCCCTTTTCCGTAGAGCGTAATCGGCCGTTTTAATTCTACGTAGAGCGTAGATGGACCGCTCAAATATTTTTGCGTAGAGCATATTCGGCGCTTTAATTCTACGTAATGCATTGTAGCCACTTGGAATTTATCGTAAAGCGTAATCGAGAGGTTTCCGAATTCAGCGTAGAGCGTTGCCGGGGCCCCCCCTTGCAGGCCCTCCTATAAAGTTGTAGCTGTGGACTTAGATTTTCTGTTTGTCTTAATTATGGGAACCTTAACTTTGGTATAAAGTTAAGACAAAGAATAAGTTCTTGACTTGTTCACAAAATGTGACACAAAATATGCTTCATAAGTACTGTAGTTCTCACAAAAAAGGTTGGAGAATAAAAGAAATTGGAACAAAAATCATAAAGTCACACAAAATTCTTCTGGTGAGTTATGCAAACGCAATCTATTCAGCCATTGCAACATTAGTACAAAGGGCGATGTCTTGTTTGCTTTCTGGCTTTGCTTTTCTCCAAGTTACAATGTACTAATTGCAGGTATGTCTACAGAATTAGACAGCAATTAAGAGCTTTATACAGTGTCTTATCCCCTGTACTAAGGAGGATGTGTAACATCCTAGGGGCATTATCACTATCTGTGGTATTCAGGAAATACTTAGGAAGGTAAAACTCTGGGACTAAAACAACTCTTTGTTGAAATTTACCTGAATAAACCAGAACAAGCAATCTGTATCTGTAAAGCCGGTATAACCGCCCTTCGGCATAACACACCAGCTTCTGTATCTGTACAGCCGGTATAACCGCCCTTCGGCATAACACACCAGCTTCTGTATCTGTATAGCCGGTATAACCGCCCTTCAGCGTAACACACCAGCTTCTATATCTGTATAGCCGGTATAACCGCCTTTCGGCATAACACACCAGCTCTGCAGGCACACGGCGCGGCGGCAGCTGGCTACATTACACCAAACGACATGTTACACCTACATGTACCTAACTCTAAACATTGTCTAAAGCTATCTAATGCCCCTACTGTACTTGGCGACAGTGAGTTCTACTCAGCAATAGTTCTAGGAAAGAACAAGTTTTTGAACGCCTCAATCCACACTGAGTAACTGAAATGCTTGAAGTCAGCATCGGGCATGAAACAGCCCAGTACTACTAGGGGGCTGCATGCCCTTTTCCGTAGAGCGTAATCGGCCATTTTAAACCTATGTAGAGTATAGATGGACCACTCTAATTCAACGTAGAGTGTAGTTGGCAAATTTTGCGCAGAGCGTAATTCGAGTTTTCATTCTACGTAATGCGTTATAGCCACTTGGAATTTATCGTAAAGCATAATCGCTACTGTAGCATAATACGTATACGTATTACGTATACAGCCGGCTCTCAAAATTTAGCGTAGAGTGTTGTTGGGACCCCCCCATGCAGGCCCTCCTACTAGTAAGCTGGGAGGGTAAGGTTTCGGCTTGTTCAGGAAAATGTGGGTGAACAAGTTGGGTTCTGGCACTTCTGGCTAATGTCAGCTAGACAGATGCACAACATAAAAGTACAGACTGGAAGAGCTATTCTTACACTGTCATCTTGGACTTCCTAGCACGTTCATTTTATGCCAGATGTTAGTACTGTACAATGTACTACATTTCAAACCGTAACAATATATATAAGAGTACTTTTAAAGTATGAAACCACAGCCTAAATCTCCAAGCAGATGTATAGCACAAGCTTGTTTTGCAGTACAGTGTTTTATACATGTTTAAAGTTAAAACTTTAGATCCAACACAAAGAAAACTTAGGTGAGAGAACTTCTTTGTGTTGGGTCTAAAGTTGAACAGTGTTTTGTACATTTATGTTTTGATAAGGTGTATTTTTCATGTTTTTCTCCTCTTCATGATGATCTGTTAGTAGTTAAAGATTTAAGCTACAGTGTGTATAGTGATTTCTTTTGTGTGTTTGGCCAGAATAATGTGAAAATACCTTGGTAAAAGGACTTCCCATCTGTTTTTTTGCCAAAGTGAAAAATTAGTTTCTTTCAGTCTCCTCTCTTCCTGCTTTGAATTTTGAAAGACCAGGGTAACCACAGGACAGCACGGCTCCGCTTTGAAGAACAAATTGCTTGCGACAATCCGGCGCGATTCTCACATATTTTGTACAAGGTCTAGGACGAGCAACTTCTGATTAATACAAGCTTTAAACCCTGGACTCGAAATTCATTTTCAGGAAGAAGTGCACTGGTGCACACAATCTAAAAAATTGGGTGCACAGAAGATATTTTGGGTGCACCATATAAAATAAAATCGCTGTGGCTACTGACACACACGGTGTGGCAGCAAGAAAAAACTAATTGTTATTGACATACTGGAATGCTAGCCTCCCTGGTAGGCCCAAAATTTCTGTTTCATTTCTAAAGAAAAGTACAACAACAATAATTTTATTATTTTTCTGACACTTGGCTGTCAAGAATACGCTGTGTTGGTTGGTAACACTTCTAACACATTTAACATCTTTACATACCAAAACTTAAGAAAATATTTGGGTGCACTGTTGCACCCACAGGAAAGAATTGGGTGTACAGCTCCAAATTTGGGTGCACTAAGGTGCACATGCACATAGTATTTCCAGCCTGACATATTTTGTACAAGGTCTAGGACGAGCGACTTTTGATTAATACAAGCTTTAAACCCTGGGCTCGTTCTGGTGCCTGATTGGTGGTCTGAGCTGTAGCGTTAAATGTGGAAGCTATCAGTCTCCCAGAATACATGTATATTTTATGAACTGTGAACATCCCTTTTAAAAACTGTCTGGACAAGTTTGTATGGTGTATAATCTAAGCAATGTAAGCAATGTGAGAATCTTTACTGGATGTATAAAAGAAAATTGCAATATCCTACAAACCTTTATCCACCTTTATCCATTCCGTGAACAAGGTTGATGGAGCCAACAAAAATTTGGGGTAAGGCCACACCAATTTAATTTCTTGGCTAACGGATTTTTCTAGGAAAATAATGGAGCGGGCGGGCGAAAAAATAAAAAAAATAAAAACAGGCCTAGAGGCTAGACATCCTATTATGGCCCAAAAATGGTACGATAGGAGCTATGAAGTCAACACACCAGGCTGGTTCAAAATTTAAGCAATGAATTTTGAACTTTTAATGATACCACTGCATTGAAAGATGGAATGACTGTAACAAGTAGTAAGAAAAGGACTGTTTTCAACTGTTTAGGGAAAAATATGAGCGTTTTGCAGTTGATTCTGAATTTTTATTTTTATTTGCAAATCAGAAAAAAATGAAGCGGCGAATCCGTTAACCAAGAAATGAAATTGGTGTGGCCTAAGTCCCAATTCTGTATCTAGTGTTGGAAGTTAAAGCTTAGTCTTTACTTCATAACCTTTATCCACGTGTGTTCAAGTTTTAGCCTCTACCAGGCTTTGGGCAGTGGCTGGAAAGAGTGGAAATAGACAATGATTAGCCTGGACCCACAGCACACAAGGCCCAAAGTTGCACACTGGATAACTTTGGGCCTAGTGTGCTATTGGTCTAACAAGTGATATGCCAGGGGATGTTATCCACACCAAGAGAACAGTTTGCCACTCCCAAAAATGGTTCTCTTAGTGCATACCAACTCCCCTGGTGTGTTTAGAGTTAAAACTTTTGAAGCCTGGTAGAGGCTACTGAAGCCTGGTACAGGCTACTGAAGCCTGGTAGAGGCTACTGAAGCCTGGTAGAGGCTACTGAAGCCTGGTAGAGGCTACTGAAGCCTGGTAGACACTTCTGAAGCCTGGTAGAGGCTACTGAAGCCTGGTAGAGGCTACTGAAGCCTGGTAGAGGCTACTGAAGCCTGGTAGAGGCTACTGAAGCCTGGTAGAGGCTACCAGGGTTCTAGCTAGGATTTTAGCGTAGTGGCACTGGCCGCATGATGAGGGAGCGAAGCGGAGCTTTTAAAAATTTGAGCTTACAAAGAGGCCATTTGAGGGATACCCAAGGGGAAAAAATGTTATTTCTAAGGTATGTACAATGTATCCTTGATTTTTCACATTTGATCTGGCATTCTTGAACAAAGAAATACAGTCACAATTCCCCGTATGCTGTATTAAAAATTAGCAAAGGGGGAAATTTAGCATAGGGGGTGAAATTTATAGCGTAGGGGGCCCCTACGCTACTTTGCACTAGCTAGAACCCTGGCTACGTATTGAAGCTTGGTCACCTGCTGGCCTGTGAGGTGGAGGATGACTGTCCCCTGCATCGTGTCCCTGTCCTGGAGGCGTGACGTGTCTCCTCTCGCTCACCCACCGCTCAGGCGTCTGCACTTCCTGGTCACGTCGTGGCTCCGCTGGGGGTCTTATCCGCTCCGCAGGGGGTCTACTCTGCTCCGCGGGGGGTCTACTCTGTTCCTCCTTAGTCAGTGGTAGAAATAAATTTTTTTTCAGTGTTCTGCGATATCGCAGGATGTCGAAATATTGTTCTGCAATTCGGAAATACTTTTCTGCAAATATGCACTTAAGAGTCGGGATCTAAACGCATGGCATATGCAAAATTGCATGTTGGTAAACATTTTGAAACATACATGCAAAATTAATATGTAGTATGTTATAGAGTCAGCATTAAACACAAATTTCAAGCTCTTAAACACCATTGAACCCCCTAGCCTGATTTTTTTCTGCAAAATTGCAGGTTACTTCATTTTTCTTCTGCAATATTGAACATGCTTCTGTAAAATGCAGACTGCAGATGGGAGCATGTTGGCAGAACGTACTGCGCCTGCGCAAAAGCCCCATTTTTGCACGGGTTTCGTTGATTTTTTGGTCAACGTTGCATCATAATTTTGCCTGATGCAGAAGACATCATTTCCCACATAACATTTGGAAAGTACAGACGGGATGTTAACCTTACATACGCGAGTATGACCTTATATGAGACATTCTGCCGAAGTGCTACGCACAATACATTTCGGGTTTCGTTCTGCCAACGTGCTACAGATGTATATTTCTAACACTGTTAGTCCAGACCAAATCTGAACTGGCGAGGACCCTGCTGCATTGAGCCACCCCATGATGTCTTGTATATATGTAAATATTACTAACGCACTAATGCACTTGTCCCGTCTTTAGCACACACAAAATCAGTTGTTTTATGTTCCCTTCTCAGTTATCCTTGTTTTCCCTTTGTTTCTTATACACCGGGTCACAATTGTTATTAACAATGTGTAACTGTACACTGTAGGGCTGGGCGGTAACAAAGAAGAAGAAGAAGAGACCTTTATCGGCACGGTTTGCGGCCCCCCCTCCTCGCTGCTGCTGTCTGTGTCGTCGCCGTTGTCCCACCGTGCCCAGGCCCAGGGTGTGTGGCTGTGCTCGACGCGGCGGCGCTGCACGCGATAGTCCACGTTATCCTCCCACAGCTTCAGGAAACGCTGGTCTGCCCACCTGTGGAATGGTTCATCGTGACATCAGTTATACCAGCGGCTATGCTAATACAGATACAGACTAGATGAGAAATTGACTTCCAACATTTTCTACACAAGCTAAAATCAGAAGCAAAAGTACATTGTATTACGACCAGCATAATCATTCATATACATGTACATACTTGTACACAACACAGCAATTCAGTTATAAAATTGAAATACTTTAAAATCAGATAATTTTAAAACCACCTGGGACCGCGGTACTGCTTGGAGTATTCCGTTTTCTTTGGGCTGGCTTTGACCCCCATGATGATGTGTGACGTTCCGCCGGATTGCCTAGCCTCCACCAGGCCTTCCTACGGGGGTACGGATCCTAGAATTCGGTTAACAAATGGAAAATAGTTCAACTTCACCGGGAGAGTCAGTCCACGAGAAGGTTAATTTCCCCCTCTAACTGAGCGGGCAACTGAATGCCCATAGCCAGGGGGGGTTTCGGAAGAACCCCCTCACAAGGCTCAAAGGTCCACTTTTTATCTAAAGGGCCAAGATTTTTCTTTAAAAGATGGACTGATTTGTATCACCGGTGGGGCTGGAATCGTAGAAAAACTGCTCACTTTGCCATTGAATAAAAAGTTATCTCTGATTTTTCCTTTGAATCTCTCTCAATAATGCAGGAAATGCCATTTCAGAAGGTTCAGTTTTTAAAGTTTTAGAAACCTCGCACCTACAGGAGGGCCTGCAAGGGGGGGTCCCGACAACGCTCTACGCTGAATTCGAAAACCTCTCGATTACGCTTTACGATAAATTCCCAGTGGCTGCAACGCATTACGTAGAATTAAAACACCGAATACGCTCTACACAAAAATATTAGAGCGGTCCGTCTACGCTCTATGTAGAATTAAAACAGCCAATTACGCTCTACGGAAAAGGGCCTGCGGGCCCCCCTACAGTGCTCGCTGGTCCCACAAAATCCTGGCTACAGGCATGTGCCCTCAAGGTTGCCTGAGTTAACCATCAACTTGCAAACCTCAGTTAAACAAGAATCATTCACCTTAATGGCCAGTAATTCATCAAAGGGCTCTATGTTTACGACCCCCTGTTAAACAAAACTCAAGTCAGTCACAACAACACTTTACAACAGTGTAGTGCCCTGCTGGAGTTCAGACAATAGCCAGACATTTGCACAGTTAGCACACAGCTGGGCAACACCCACTGTAGGGGGGCCCACATGCCCTTTTCCTTAGAGCGTAATCAGCCGTTTTGATTCTACGTAGAGCGTAGACGGACCGCTCCAATATTTTTGCGTAGAGCGTATTCGCCGTTTTAGTTCTACGTAATGCGTTGTAGCCACTTGGAATTTATCGTAAAGCGTAATCGAGAGGTTTCCGAATTCAGCGTAGAGCGTTGTCGGGACCCCCCCCCCCTGCAGGCCCTCACTACTGAAAATACAGCTGGGCAACACCCACTGTAGTGTAGGGCTACCACAACACCAGACTTCTTTTGCAGGCTGCAAGGCCAATTTGATCGTCAATGGCTGGATACGTTCTCTAGACCTTTAATTCTAGGCCGATTTCTACGATTTATTCAGCCTGCAAAAGAAGTCTGGTAGCACCCACCCACCTAGTTAGCCTCTACCAGGCTTCGGGAGGCGGCTGGAAGGAGTAGAAATCGGCCAAATAGAGAGATAGCATGCCAGAGGAGTTGGTCCGCTGGAGAGAACAGTTTGCCGCTCAAAACGTACTCTCTAGTGGACTAAATCCCTTGGCATGCTTATCTCTCTATTTTGACCAATCTCTACTCTTTCCAGCGGCTCCCGAAGCCTGGTAGAGGCTACCACAACACCCTAGTCTCCACCAGACTCTTTTGCAGGCTGAATGAATAGTAGAAATCGGCCTGAAAGAAGAATGTAGCTGGCCAGAGGAGTTGGTTGGCCAGAGGGTTCAGTTGGTTTGCCTGCATAGATGCACACTCCCCTGGCCAGCTACAATCTTTTTTGGCCGATTTCTACTATTTACTAAGCCTGCAAAAGAGTCTAGTGGAGACTACACCCCGCCCCTGTTGACACAAGTTTTACAGCCTCTTTTACAGCTAGCAAATACCCACAGTGAAAAAGTCAACTTTTATAAAGCATAGTCTTCCAGAGAATCGTGTTGGGAGGGGGGCGCACTCAAATATCTGTCTAATTGGGAGATTATTGCTTTTTTACCGGCATTTGTTTACTTCTTGAGGGCCACAAAAGTCTGTACCTACGATCTACTTGTGTTACGACGGCCTACGTTGCCTTAAAGGTGAGTAAAGGTGCGTTTTTTTACCCGTCAGGTGTGTTGGCGGCAGGTAAGAATCTTGTCGCAAGGGACGCCAGTAGCCTCGATTCCGAAAAAAATCTTGGCGGGCGCGCGCTCTCGTTCCCAAGCCCCGCCCACCTCACCCTGGGCACGAGAGGTGTCATCCGAAACCGCTTCACTAATGATTAACAGTGATATCGTTCCGCCGCCCTCGGCATCCCTGGAATTGAACACAAATCGTAAACAGGCCCTGTGCACGGATGGTAGCTCTGCCGAGGGGGTTGTAATCTTCCCGCCCAAGTCCCCTGTGGCCTTTCCGGCGGAATATTTCGGTCGCTTTTGGGTGGAAATGCAGCTCAGTTGACGGGCGAAAGTAGTGCGTGTCGCATCACAGCCTGAGCCTGCCGTGCCGTGTACGTGTGTGTTTATCTCCTACCCGGCAGCGTGTGTGCATGTTGGAGTGGCACAGCCACAGTGGTGCGTGCGGCAGTCTGGCGATGGCCTCCGACTTCCAGGATGGGTCCTGCACCATCGCAGTGCCGCCCGTAGCGCTGGTGGACGTCGACCCGGCAGACAGCCGAAAGAGACCGTTGGAGGGAGCCGTGGAGATGGGCAACTCGAAGCGATCCAACTTCGGCGGCGAAGGAGGTACGTTACTGCGAGGATTGAAAAACCTAAACCGGAGCCGTACTTTACTTTTCTCTTCTCTTCTGACAGCCTTCCGCATTTGTTACGGTGTCCTGTGTGTGTTGGTGGCGGCGTGTGTGTGCGCGGTGGCTAGCTGTGTCTGTAGGAACGTGATTTCGCAGGCGTGATTTTAACTTACATGTCATGCAAGTGTGGCGTTTCTCATATGCTACGAGGGGAAAGAAAGACAGGACGAAAGCAAGCAAGCGCGGACAAGGCTAGGGCAAGACCTGGCGGCTTGTCGCGGCAGCTAGCGGGGGGGCTGGCCCGGTCGCCCCGAGCGCAGCCACCGAGAGGTGTACCGTTTCAATGAAGGCATCGCCCGGTATTTGTCCTGGGTAAACTTCGTTGCGTAGCGATGGCTTGTCGGATTTACTACCGACTGGTTTTAGGGCCGTACCCCGGTACACAAGCTTCCGCAAAAAAACTTGTGCCGCTCGCGCCGTAGCACAGCTGGCCCTCTTACGGTCAATTACGAGCTGGCGACCGCTTTATTTCGCATTACACGAGGCCCGGTAAAACTAATTTGCAAGAGGGGTGAAAGGGTCCGGGGTATTGATCATCGCAGATCTGTCGAAAGTCTGCTCCAGGTTCGATTACCCTGTTTTCAATTTCAAGTCCGATACGTGAGATCATTTCGATCGAGCCCGAGGCTAAGAGACGTGATAAATCAGGGGCAGGAGTTGTCATGTTGCCGGGCTTAACACTCCATCACTTAGCTAGCTAGCTAGACTAGAGGACTAGCGGCGCAGCTTGCGGAGGTTGCAGCACACACACACACACACACGCACACATACATACATACACGGGCCGTCCGCTCTAGTCCCGCTTTCCCACACACGCGCGCGCAACACCCGGGCCGGCTTTCTCCTAGCTTTCCGGGATTTTCGATTTGTTCGGCGATCGGGTTTTCCTCAGGGCGAGACGCATCAGCACGGATCTCCGCTCTATCCTCGAGTCGGACTCATCTGCAATAGCTTTGCGAGCATGGCGGGGGGCACCGGCGGTCAGGGAGGTTAGTTGGGCCCGGTTTATGCATGCACGCACCCCCCGACGGGCCTACGCCGCCGCTCCGGTAGGCCGGCCCTACCCCGTCTCCTGTCTGCATTATTATACCGCTGCCGCTTTTCTTCTCGCATGACGAACCACCAAACCCTAGCTAGCTAGCCTACATACATGCAGTTGCGCAGCGCCCGCTGCCTTTTTGCCGCACGCAGATTTTGCTAACGTCTTGTCTTTCTTTTTTCGTTCCTTCATGGCTCCGACAGGGCCCGAGGATGGCCAGCTCCTTCTGAAGGTGTTGATACCGAGTTACGCCGCCGGCTCGATCATAGGAAAGGGCGGCCAGACCATCGTGCAGCTACAGAAAGAGACGGGAGCGACGATAAAGCTCTCCAAATCCAATGATTTCTACCCAGGTAAGGTGCCATCAATTATTATTTCTCCCATCTCCCCGCCTACACCACGCACTAACCTTACATATGTATGGGGCAAGCCACCACGGGAATCCCCCTGCTCCCAAAGCTCTTACATTGTTTGGATTTTTCAAGAACATGTCTCTCTCTTTTGTTGACCAAAGTCCGTCACTCTGCTTGTGTTGTTAGGGGCTCCATTGAAATTCCGCTACAGTCGCCTGCTAGCGTTCTCTCCAGTGAAAGTTAAATCTGCATATTTCTAGGTGTGCTTTTGGGATTCGACAAGGTTCATGAACATTCCTCACACACAGGCCATGTTCCGGGGGTTCACAGAATTGTAAACCTTGAAACAACAAATCAGCAAGAAACCGCAAGACTTGGGGCTTATCACGTATTATCAAAGTTGACGAAAATACAGGGCTGAACAGGCAGCAAACTGTGACCAAAACAATGCAGACAGGACAAGGCTAGAGCTGTGGGAATTGCATGCCCCCGGGTAAGGGAAGTCATTTCACCAGGTGAATGGGCGAGAATGAAAAGGTGTAACATATCATTCCTGTCAGCCAGTTTGACATGTTACCACCGCTCGCATTGTTCGCGACAGTTCGGGGTAATGTTTTTCTCAAACCAGCTGTGTGATTCGGTCAATAAGGCACTCCGTCTGTCTTGAGTGAGCCCGGGTTCAGCGGAGATAGGTTATGTCAACCCAAACTTGACACGCCTTCGACATACCCCAGTTCTACACTACAGCAACAAACTTTACAGTAAACTTCTCTCTCTCTCTCTCTTGATCTTGTTGTGTAGCCCATGAGATTTTGGTAATGAGCATAAGACTAGCAGCATTATCACATTAGAGGGTGATACATAATTATGTACAAACATGCAAGACATTCTTGTGCAAATAGCACGGGGATAATCTGTTTTCTATAGACCGGGGCAAATTTATGCAAAGGATTTAGGAGTGCATATTTCCCTGCCCAGTCTGTAGTTAGCCTCTTTAGCATGCCAAAAACTGGGGGGTTTTGGGGGTCTTCAGGGTCTTTGGTAGCTTTTATGTGCTATTTTCTGATTGCATATAGACAACATAGCCGGCCTGGTTGAAATTAGAACTTGGCTAATCAGAAAACCCCTAGTTCTTTAAGCCTGCTACGGAGGCTAGTCTGTAGTACTGTGGTGTAGGTAGCCCCTAGTTACCTTACCGTACTTCAGATGTGATTAGAATCATTGCCAGTTCTGTGGTTAATTTACCATTTGTGTCCATGTGGCATGATGAATGGCCAGTGTGTCTGGCCCTGGTCGGGAGACTTGAAACTGGATAGTGGGCCATTTGGGATCCCTCCTGGTTTGATCAGAACCCTTGTAACCCCTAGCCTCCGTAGCAGGCTTATAGAACTGGGGGTTTGGTGGTCTTCGGCTGTTTTCTGATTAGCCCAGTTCAAAAAACCGGGGGTAATTCAACCAGGTTGGCTATGTTGTCTATATGCAATAAGAAAATAGCACATAAAAGATCCTGAAGACCCTCAAACCGCCAGTTTTTGGCATGCTATGGAGGCTATGTAACCCCTTCCCTCTCCACTGTTGAACAGTGTCCACACACACGCACACACACACACACATGTGCATGCAGTCACTGTTTACCTTTGGCGTGTGCTCGACGTTAATTATGGACTACTTGTTAAGTGGCTAAGGACAACTTTCACAGATATGTGTGGTCTGGTCGGGATATTTGTGTGCTCAGTTTCAGTTGAACCCTGGGTGACACACATACACATCGTGTGTCCCCTACTGGAGGCAGAAGTATGTTACCTATTAACAGCCAGCCAGATCAAATTACCACTGTTGATTTGGGGCTATAAATGCTGATAAAATGAGTGTTGCTTCCCCTCCTTCGCCATGTAACATGCCTGTAGTGTATTATCACTCTCGGCCTTTGAAAACATATCTGTAAGGGAAGGCTGAATATTTCCAGACACTTGGTTTGGTTTCCTGTTGTCTGAGGGTTGAGCGGCACACTGCCAGCCCTGCGCTGAAACAGATTGAATTTCACCTGATGAAACTAGGCGAGATACAGTCATTAATTATCTGTCAACCCCCCTAGATTGGATGGGTCTGTTTTATTACTGATATTACCTCCTATTACCTTCATTATCCCTCAGCACGGTAACCTCTTTGACAGGTCGGTGACGGCAAATGTTTTGTGTGCTAAATAAACAGTTTAAATGATTGTCCTGCCCTGTTTATTGTTGTTAGGAACGACAGAGAGGATAGTTGTGATTACTGGCAGCGAGGATTCCCTGAAAGCCGTTCACAAGTTCCTGATGGAGAAAATCGGGCAGGCACCCCAGCCGCCCGCCAAGTCGCCCAGCGAACAAAATGCCAACAACAACCGTGCCAAACAGGTATGGGTTGCATTTCCACCATTCTCACCCCCTCTTCTGGTTCAAAAGCCCATGAAAACTGTAACTGCCATTCATGTATCCACCTCGGGTCACCGGGAGCGGCCTTGTTGGCCCCTCAATGGGGCTTTCGAAAACCACCACATATGGCCCTATTGTCCTATATTATGGGCAGGGATATAGACAAAAAATTCACGGCCTGAAAAGGCATATGGATGCATAGAAAACGGTCGTTACCGCCCAAACCGGACTGTACCAGACATACTGTCACACAGTTATTTGTTTAGGGTACATGGGGTAAACATGATACCCATCCTTTTGTTTTTGGCAACTGCGCATTTCTTTGCCTAGAGCTTGTACCTGCTTGTAAAGACAAAAGGGCAACAAGGAGGGCTGGCATTAAGAAAACATGGCCGCTGCATCTCACATTTGCAAGTTAATAGGGGGCCCACTGCCAGGGTAAAAATTGTCATGCAGATGTGCAGTCTTTTTGTCGCGGCTGTGTGTGCACGCTTGATGGAAGCTGTGCGGTAGTTACCCGGAGTGTATGTTTTGCAAGTGGCGGTTATGTGTGTATTATTCCTGTTTTACATTACCCGGAGAATCGCGTCGAAGCCGTCCCGCTATAGTATACTGTGTGCGTGCCAACATCTCCCCCTGACCCCAAAGGTTCCACTTCTATGTCTAATGCAATCCTGATAGCAAATTTTTGCCCCATTATTGGGTAGTACTTGGAACGCAAATTGCAATTACCAGCCAAGTAGGTCTGTTCCCGCAAATGATATTGCCGGAGACAGACATATATTATATGCGGCCCACGGTGCCTGCGTCAAAATTGCTGCGGGGAACCAAATTGCCCATTTGTAATTCACAATCCGGTGCCAGGCAGCTCTATGAAAGGCATCACGCCCGCCAAGCCCAGATGAATCAAGTCTATGAAGGCCCAATATTAGATGACTGGGCATGAGGCCGACGTTTTTTTTATGACAAACCGCCCGTAATCGCCACCGTTGTTCACGCAGGTGCAATTTAACGTTTTGATTAGCGATCGTTACGTGACTGATGGTTTTTTTTATTCACATATATTTATTGAGTATTGGGCAAAAAGCAAAAGTTGATTATATAACACCTTCTACTCAAAAACATACGAGTATAAAACACATATACATGCATAATTACAAGGTGGATAAGACCAAGATAAATACAAACAAGACAAGTTGGTGATCTATCAATTACGAGAATCTACCCGTACAGTAAATGAAGCTTTGAACTACATCAATAACATTACAGTTCCGTAGGTGTGAAAGTGATGTGGACCCTCGAAGTAGTAAGGAACACAGGGAACTGTCATTGAGATGCTGTAGCTCTACTATGTTGGAAAGAGATGATAACAGTGTACTTCTTTGATGGATGGGGTTATCATTATTCTTTTCTTTTTTTTTCCTATTTTCCGCACGCAGGTGAAAATCGTGGTTCCCAACAGTACGGCGGGATTGATCATCGGAAAGGGCGGAGCCACCATCAAGTTCATAATGGAGCAGACGGGTTCTCGCGTCCAGATCTCGCAGAAGGCGACGAACGGGATCAACCTTCCCGAGCGCGTCATCACGATCACCGGGGAGCCGGAGCAGAACGACAAGGCGTGTGCGTTCATCGTGAACAAAATCGTGGAGGATCCGCAGAGCGGGAGCTGCCCCAACATCAGCTATGCCACGTACACTGGACCTGTAGCCAATGCGAACCCCACTGGTTCTCCGTACGCCAGTCCCATGTCGCCGCTTCAGAACGGCAGCGCTTCTCCGACCGCCCTGGCGGCGCAGAGCCTGTCCAACCGTGGGGTTTAGCTTGGGAGCGGCCGGTTTAGGGCCGGTGGGTCAGGCCGACGCGGCCGCGGCGCACATCACGGCCGCGCTCAACACGCTAGCTACTTACGGCTATTCCAACCTGACGGGCGGATTGGGGGTGAGCCTGGGTGGGGGGGCGGCCACACTCCCGACCGCGGTGGGGGTCACGAACGGGGCCAGCCCGCCGGCAACGTTGCTCACAAACTACAGTAGTAACGGCACGGCCGCCAACGGCGTTCGAGAGAGCTCAGGTTTTAACGGCACCTCCAGTGCGGCGGCCAATGGGTATAACATAGGCGCCCTGGGCAACGCCAACGCGGCCGCATTCGGCGCCGCGGGCTCCCTGGGTGCCCTGGGCGCGTTCAGCGGAGCTGCGGGTCTGTTGGGGCTGGCCAACACGGAGAAACTTTTGGATGGGTCCAAAAATGTGGTAGAGTTAGAGGTACCCGAAAACTTGGTGGGCGCCATATTGGGGAAGGGAGGCAAAACGCTAGTGGAGTTTCAGGAGTACAGTGGGGCTCGCATCCAGATTTCCAAGAAGGGGAGTTCACCCCGGGCACAAACAACCGAAAAGTGACTATTACGGGAACGCCTGCCGCCACGCAGACTGCACAATACCTGGTCAGAGCACGGATTGCACAAGAGGAGGCCATGCGAGCCAAGAAGCAGCAGCAGAAGTAGTGAGTGAGCGGGCAACAACAACACCTACAACAACACCTGTACAAGACTCACACAGACGTAAGTGAAGTCATTCTGTCTCAGAACCATTTCCTTCCTTCCTTGAGTTCCAGCATCCCACAGTGCTTCCCAGGAACTTTGACTGGACTCATCAGTATTATGTGTACCCATTGCCATAATGCTCTCTATCTCCATGTGGAAAGCCACAGGACCATGTCTGTTCCACTGAGTCCAAGGCAACGTACGTACGTGTATGCCCCATGACATGGTATCATCTGCCTACAACATCCATTTTGAACTGTTGGAGCACCCCCCATATGCAAAGGTAAAATGCAATGGGCACTGACTGGTTCAAGCTTCTCTTACTTATAGTCTAGAGCTGGCTCCAAAATAATTCATCCCATGCCATCCTCAAGAACATGTGCAAATGGATTGACAAGTTGTCAGGTTCTCCCTTGGTGGGTGGAGGGCAGACGCTGTACCCTGACTCTGTTCGTGCCATGTGACTCATGCCATATAGTGACAAACCTTCTTGCCAAACTCTCTCTGTCCTAGCTCTTCCAGCAATACCCAGTGGGTGTTTTAAACCTTTCTATATGTGCCAGTCGAAACCTTTTCCTGTCCATGAAGTAACATTTGCTGTTATAATTATTAACAACACCTCCAAACATGTAGTCTTCTTACCATGCTGACTACAGCTTCGATAGTCTACAAAATACAAGTGGTTTTCATCCACTCCTCGTGAACTACGTAAATAAGAGAATGTAGAGTAAATGTTGTATTTTCCACTCTTCCTACTACATTAGTGGTTCCTAAAACAGAGACGCTGATTATTTTTAATTTGTTTATATGGAAGGCTTTGTATTTCTCTTTGATACAAAAGCTGAATTTTAAATGATTTGCTATGATTGTAAAGAGAAAGTCATATTAAAATTATTTTGAAGTACAACATTGAAGGATTCAACTTTTACTTTCGTTATTTTGTTTTTACTCCGCATTGTATTTACACATATATAGATATTGTATGAATTGCTCGAATGTAGTTTGCTACTTGTATAATTATTAGATATATGTAGATAGTAGTGCTTGCAGTGGTAGACGCAGGATTGTGCAATATTGTAAAACCAAGTCCATGTCACAGTGGAAGGTGGGTTGTTGTGTATTGCTGTAGCTACCACAACTAGTGTACCATACACATGGTGTTAACAAGCATTGTCATTTCACACCATCCTCATACATAAAACCATAGTATCACCATCTCACAAATTGTGTCTGTGTCATTTTTTCATTCTCATGACAACTGCACATTGGCATCTGTTGGCATCGTTCTCTAGGCATGTTTTTAATACCTAATCATGTCCACATTACAATCTCAACCATTGCCATTGTACGGGTACAGTAACATTCCACATCAGAGCTGCAGTCACCCAATGGCATCGCTTCTAGCTGTAGCATGCTGGTTGTAACGTTGTTGGAAAACCTCGTCGTCGAAAAACAAACAAAAACCCAGGAACAAACCGAACAAACTACTAATCCGTAGGGGACGGCATCGCAAGCAAGCATGAGCCAAGTCCCTCTGTCCGATCAGACCAAGTGACCTTCTTCCCCATCCGTAAAAACATAAATGTAGGATGGACTGATATTACTCCTCCTCCGTGTAATAATATAAAATATATCCAGCAAATCAAGAGAATGAATGTAGGATGAAAATGCAAATGAAGAGAACTGATGTAATGTAAGGTTCGGGTGGGTGACTGGGGGGAGTTGTGGCAGTCCACATGCTGCTGGCCTTTCTCTCACTTCTCTCACATTCTTTCTTTCCCCCTCCTTCCCTCCCTCCATCCCTGCAATTTTGCCTGTGCCGTTACTCTCCAAGCAGAGTTTTAGACGTCAGATTATTTTTGACATCATGTTTTTAGGCATAAAGAAGATAAAAGAAAGAAGGCCAGATACAAATGCTGGCATTTCTGTATTGTATTGGTATCTTCTTTTTTTTTTGCCAGCCAAACTTTGCCAGCCAATTTGATACTGCCTTGCTAATTTCAATTTGACACACAGTCTTGTAGGCACCAAAAAAGATCTGCTTGGAGATTATACACTATGCTTCGTCTCATAAGCATTCTTATAACACCATTAAGTCTAGTGCTGTGTACCGGTTTGCTGAACCAGTTCCATACTTGTAAAAATGTTAAGGTTCAAGTCCCCCCAAAAAAGTCCAGAACCCATTGCAGGCTTGTTGCAAAAAAGCAAAAACATGTCACATACCCCTTTTTCTTTCCAAACCACCTAAAACCCTTCCATAGATGGCAAAATCTGTGCTGCAAAATGATAAAAACATTGGCATCGTCAAGTGTCTACGGTTCTACCTCCATGTTATGTGGCCGCCAAAGTTTTGTCCATACAACATTGCAAGGTTGCAAACATATGCAATTTTGTATATGCCATGGGTTTTAGGTCCGGACTTACAACCCCTGGACCTGAACCTAAATGTGGGTTTAGGTACACATCACTAGCCCCAACCTGGCTGACATTGTATCTCCCAGTGTGACCCAGTCTGCACAAGTCAGACCATACCTGATCCTGACCAGCAGATTCCAGGCCTGACCTCGGTATAGGCTGCTGCTCAGGTGGCAAAATGCAGGTCAGGCCTCCTGGACCAAAAAACCATCACACCACCATACAGGGCTCGAAATAGTGGTACTTTTTTTTTCTGCATACCTGCACTGTAGGCAACATTGAGATTTTAGTGCAGGGCACGAAATAGTAGTACTTTATTTCTGCAAAATTTACCAAAAAAAAAAAACAATACACCACCATACAGGGCTCGAAATACTTGTACTATTTTCTGCATACCTGCACTGATGCAGCCAAAATTGAATACCTGCATCGCAAAACTGAAAAGTTACCTGCACAAAATACTAGTACTTGATTTCTGCATACTACATTTCTGCATTCTACATACCTGCACCAGATAAATTGTAGCTGCCTCACTGAAAACATACGAAGCATGGGTCACACTAAAAACTGTTTAAAAACTATTGAAGTATTACATTGTATCATTATTTCTTTTGTAGTTCATAGATAGTAACAGTCAATGCAGCAAATGAAAATCCACATAGACCTACGTGTATCTATAAACCATTACTTAGGTGCAGGTAGACATCAGAAGTACCTGCACAGCTCCAGTTTTACCTGCACTAACCTGCATATACCCAGTACATGGACCAGTGCAGGTTAGACATCAGAAATACCTGCACAGCTCCATTTTACCTGCACTAACCTGCATATACCCAGTACATGGACCAGTGCAGGTTAGGTGCAGGTAGACATCAGAAATACCCGCACAGCCCCAATTTTACCTGCATATACCCAATACACAGACCAGTGCAGGTAGACATCAGAAATACCTGTACAGCCCCAATTTTACCTTTAAGTGACTGTGAGGTTAGTGATCGTTAGTACCTAAGCACCTGATACTGAATTTCGAGCCCTGCCCTGACACCACCACCAATCTCTCGCTCCTGTTCGTGATTACTTTGCAATTGCTCCTGTCGAAGAAAGTTATGCCCATTTTTTTTTCTTTCCCTGCCGGATTATTTTCATGCAAATGAGCCACCTCACACCCCCTTTAATACACCTCCCAATTACACTTTAATCACCTCGCACAATCCGCTTTTGTGTTTCATTATGGTCCCTCATTTTCAGCCGCTTCTGTCCAGGCCACACCGACTAATGAATGCTTATTAAGAGGCGGGCTTTCGACAGCAAATGACAATACATTCTGGTCTGCATTATGAGACATTAGAGACGGCCCCGGGGCCGTATTATTCATCACCGTACGGCGTGCCAGTTTCTCCACCTGAGCCTGCGCAGGGCGAGTCTGACAAGCCCGTTACGGTCCGCTATGACAGACAATTCAGGGTCCCCACAATGTTCAACTCTTTACCAAACATAACAGACAAACATGGCACGCAGTGTTGCCTGAATGGCGTTCGTATTTACGTGTATACAAAATGTCAAATATCATATATTTACAAAAAAAGACTATAAAAACAGTACAGTAACTGTACAACCCAGATATTTACAAGCTCCATTATCTTGTGCCAGACTCAATCTGTGCAGTCTGGTTATAGAGTCTGATTGACTGGTGAAGGAAAGAGTTCTGTATTCTCTAGTACAATATGAGCTGCGTCAAATTCACAGCATAATGGACTAGAAAAGACTCTAAGATAGAGTGGAGGCGGACTATATTTATTCTCGCAAAGTTTGGTTAGAAAACAGCTGCAGAGGAGATTTATTATAATATTCCGTCAGAACGCGGGTACCGTATGATTGAATGAGGCCGGGCAGCGGCTCCGATATTTTTGGGGCACAGATGACTGCCGTCAGTTATTCTATCTTCCGCGGCCAGGCCGCCCCCACTAGCCCCATTTTCAACGGCAGGACACACGGAATTTCCCCCTCAAAACATCCAATTAGTTCCGTTCCCAGCAAATTACCGATGTTGTTCCTTCCGCCATTGCCATTGAGGATCTCTCGCACCACGGGGAAGTGGGCTGTGTCCCCGCGTTTTTCCCCAAACACAAATTTCCTTGCGGGTCAGCGAAAAGCAGCCCAACGGTTGCAGAGAGAGACCTAGCCTCTGCCAGGCTTCGGGAGGCGGCTGGCAAGAGAAGAAACTGGCCAAGCAGAGAGAGATAACATGCCGGGAGAGTCGGTCCGCTGGAGAGTGCGGCAAAATATACTCTCTAGCGGGTGCTAGCGGACCAACTCACCCGGCATGTTATCTCTCTCTCTCTCTCTGTTTTGCCAGTTTCTTCTCTCTTCAGCCGCCTCCCGAAGCCTGGTAGAGGCTATGAGCGACCTAACCCGTGTCTCTGGCAGTCCTGACAAGCTAAATAGGCCCCAGCTGCGCCGGGGTTATCCGCAGTCCAGACAAGTGACGGGAGAAGGTCGCCCTCCCTCCCCGCTTCGGGCTAACCTCGCTCACCGGGCTGAGATGCCGTGATCTGCCGAGGATTCGCTGCTCTTGCCTGCCTGCCTGTGGTCGCGTTATACGTTATATAATTGTTGAGATGTTTATTGCAAATTCATGCCCGAGCCCTAATTACATACAGACATTAACATAAACTTCTACGTGTACGATATACTTATCGAACCTACTATCTCTACTTAAACCTAATAACGTTGGTATACATACAGGGTAAAAAGTAGATATACAATATGTGACCAGGTAATAGGAACAAAGTAACTGCTATTCTAATCTATTCTGTTATATAAAACTCACATCCGATTCGTAACGGAACAGTTTGCTTCTATCACAAAACATGAGACACAATTGATAATTAATATGAATTATGGGTAGGTATCAGAAACAAGTAAAGTTTATTGCAAGTTCTTCTATCACAAAACGTGAGACAAAATTATGAGTAGGTATCAGAAAAATATAAACGAAGGTCCTCGTATTTCGAGAACAGTCGAAGGCACAGGTACTGAAACCGAAGCTTCTTACAGTTTGCACCCCCCTTCTAGTCATAGAAAGTTTATTGCAAGTACTTGCCCGAGGGCTAATTGCAGTTACAAACAACATAAGAAAGAAAATACAATGGTATGTGAGACTATATCTACTTCTAGCATTATACTACATGTATATTCTACAACATACATGGTACTAGTTTTACTGGGTTTATATCACAAAACATGTCTACAAGCTCACTCGTTTCAAGCTTTATTCGTTTCAAGCAACATTGCAGAAATACGCATATGCAAAAATTGCGTTCATAATACAAATAAGAGAACTGTACAAAAAACTGGACACAAACAAAAACATTAAGACTCCAAAATCACGAGTAGCTATCAGACAAAAATTATAAACGAAGGTTGTCATATTTCAAAAACAGCCATTTGAACCAACATTGCAGAAATACGGATATACATAATACATAGCGTTCATAATAAATACAAATCGGAACTAACAATACAAAACAGAACATGAACCCCCAAAAAACACGGACTCCAAAATCATGAGTAGGTATTGGACAAAAATTATAAACGAAGGTTGTCATATTTCAAAAACAACCGAGGCCACAGGTATGAAATATGCAGAAATACGCATATGTAAAAATCAAAGATTGCGTTCTTAATACAAAACAGAACTGTACACACAGTGCAAGTACTCGTACCAATACAAGAACAAGTCATGAACACAAAAACATGGAAGACTCCAAAATTATGAATAGATATCAGAAAAATTTTAAACGAA